CCCCCTAACCCCCTAACCCCCACAACGCTGCATTGCAGCAGATGTAGATACCGGGCCGCGTGATCTTACCAACGATCATGTTCGAGGGAATTTGCAGCGCGACATAGCCAGCGAAGAGGACAGAGACACAAGTGTTGTACTGCTGAGTGGTAAGTCCCAGGTCGGCCGCTAGGCCGGCGACCTTTGCCGAAGAGAGGTCTGGGGTCAGGATCACCGCGCTCGGAGATGTCAGAGCGACCCACTTTGACGGTCAAGAAAGTTGAGAAGGTATAGGAGGCACACTGCGGTAAGCTGATTGACGCAGATGGCACCTACGGCCTGGAATAAGCATGATGTCGACCTTGCGCGTCCCGCTCTTTGCGACAGCCTCGCGCTCGGCCTCGGTGAGGTTGGCAAGGGACTCGGGAAGGCGGACTGCGAACTGGTCATCGACTTCGAGGGCGGGGCCTTTAGACACGGACAATGAGTCCCTATGGATTGACTCCTTCTCATCAGACATGGCTTTTATGAGCTGCAGTCGGGGGAATTGAGGTTTGAGCTTCGCTCGGCTTGGCAGTGTTTATAAACAGCTCCACGGGAGTGATCGCATTAGGTGCCTGATAACTCTTGCCCCTTATCGATTGATAACAATCGGCGTGGAGCCGACCCTGGGCTGAGTAGGACGAAAAGGATGTTCCGCGATGTAAACTTTGCCCACCTCAGTTGGCTCTCCTCCCGCGCTGACCTCCGTGGAATCGATGATGTCGGAAGATAAGCATTATCCGATGTCGGCGTTCCCAACGAATTACGCACCAGATAGTGTCCGGCTCATCGACGCTAGTGCGTATCGAGTGCGACAAAATCCTGGGAAATGCCAAAATTAGGAAGAAACGATGGGAGCCCCGCCGTTATCGGCTCACAGCGGCTTGTGCCTGAGCGGCTGAGCGGCTGAAAGTCCAGATGATACGGCTGTCGCTCCAGAGGTCCCGACCCGCGTGGAGATCGCGATGAAGGGATCATGCATGATCGTCCCCAGATCCCATGCTGCGCAGTGTGGGCGGAATGTTGGAAACGACCGGCGTCGGGTTTCTCCGCTCTAACACTTGACTGCAGACGATGCCGCGTTGATTCGCCCGGCGTCGACATCTGCTGGCAAACACAGCCGGCGCGTGAGTTCCGCCAACAAACTGCCGTTGGCGTTGGGCGCCAGGTGCGCTTCGATGACTAGACCTGGGGCTGATAGGAGTCACCAGATGGTGAGCGGATGATGTAGAGAACTGGCGCTGCATTCCTTCTCTCGGGGTTCGCGCGCCGTTTCCCGGACTTGTGTCGGCGTCGTCTTCAGCCGTGGCGCTGAGGGAAGCTTGACAAAGCAGTCCACCCTGATGCCAGACGGAAGCAGGCGTTGAACAGGCATGGAGTCGAATGGGTAGTTTCTGTGGCAGCAGTCTATTCAGCCCGCCAGGTCCTCGTTTGTCTCTTTGTGCCTTTCGCAACTTGTCTGGTGACGACCATAGGATTGTCAGTGACAGGGCCCTTCCGGGTCGTGGGCTGGGGTTCCGCGGTCGTCAATGCCTTCGGGGTGTTTCACTGCAGTAATCGTAAAGTGAACGTAGTCTTGTTTTTACTTACTCGTCTGACTCCCTCGAAGGCTTTACCTCCTGCGGTCTCTCAGGCGCAACCACCTCATGTTGATCTCACTGCGCGCAGCGAAGCGGACGGACGCCTCTTTACGACGATCTTTGTCACTGCAATCTGCTCATCGAGCCTGGCCACAAGTGAGGACCGTCACGGTTCCGAATCAAAGATCGAGGGCGCAAGGGCACAAAATCCAGCTGAGAATCTCCACACTGCGCGCTTGAACGTGCATGTTGAGAAGCATGGGCGAGCATAGCAGCGAGAGGGGCCGCCCAGTCTGTAGCAGATATAATAGTGGGTCTGGCTGATGGATTTCTTCGCCACCTGAAATAAACAGAACACAACGTAAGATAAAGTGCCGATGGTGCTGACCGTAGCGGAATGCTTTGCTTCACACTCGCGCTCCTTTTTGTTGCTGGCGCTGCCGCCCTGCCCCTCTCCTCCCTCCCGGAAGAGACTGTCCAGGTCGAAACCAGGGGGCCCCCTGTTTTCGTTGTTGCTGGCTTGGCCGTTACAGTGGCACAGGCTGTTACCGTCTGGGAGGGAGACGACAAGGAGAGTCGTAACCAGTTCACTGCGTCTGTGATCGACCGTGTCCACGAAAGTTACCCTGACTGCAACGCGTTTATCTACCACATTGGGGAAGACACGTTCACCTATGAAGTCCCTGCCGATGCTGCCAAAGAAGAAGTCTCCATTGACCATGGTGGTTTCCTCGGCTGGTTTGGAGTTCGCGAGCATTACGAAATTGTCGTGTTCGATGGCCCTGGCAAGCTCGAACGCCGCAACTCCGACGGCGGTTACCTGAACTGGGCCTTTGTCGGATGGTATGAAGTTGACGACGACAAGCGCGTTGTAACTTTCAGCGCTCCTCCTGACGACGGTGAGGATGAGGAAAAGTAGCGCGGTCTACTTCAAGTGCGAACGGACACTATAACTAGCCATGGAACGATAACGCGTGCTTTATTATCGAGTGTGATGCGACCGTGTCAAATGAGTTTCCAAGACGGGCCACTCTCTTATAAAACCCGGTGCTTTGCATTGTGTGCTGTGCACGCTGACCCTGCCCCAAAGCCATTATCAAGCTGTTCATGATACTGTACAATGAATGATAGAGCGTTCACTATGGATACAACCATTATTAGCAACCACCACCTCCCCCTGCCCGCAGCGGTGCCACACGCCGAGATGCCCGCGGCACCAGCACACCCACTTTCGCCAGTGACGCACGCCCCGCTGCTGGCCGCGCCCACGCCGGCCGCACAACCGGCAGCGCCAGACGCGTGGTGATTCGCATCGCAGTACCACGGGTCGGCCATGGGATACACGCCATAGCCATAAGGCACAACACCCCAGTATAGAGGGTAGCCGTAGAGGAAGGCATCGTTCTGCGCGTCGCGCTCGCGGCGCCTGCGTGCCTCGCGGTCCTCGCGCTTGCCTTCAGCGAGGGGCTCGGGCGGCCCAAAAGTGCGACTGCCCTTCACGCGGCGGGGTACAAAGACGTACCGTGCAGTAAAGGGGTTGGTGTGATCGGACTCGGCGCCCTCGCGCACGCCCAGACGCTCGCGGAGGGTGCGCAACTTTGGTGCCGCCGAGCCATCAACCTGTACGCGGAGCATATTGTGCGTCGAAGGGCACTGGGCATCGCGCTCCTCCTCGGGCAGCTCCTGCAAGAGCTCCTCAACGTAGCGCTTGCCAATCTCGACCGACTCGCGCGACTTCTCGGCGCGCTTCCAAAACTTCATGCCCGTGCTCTGCCGGAACTGGCGCTTGTGGTTTTGCCGCAGCCCTCGCTCTGCGTTTTGCGCGACGGGACACCCGCACCCACTATAGGGCACGCCGAAGCGCCGAGCCCACAACGTCGCCGTGTCGTCGTACGCCATTTTCAGGCGGACGTCGGCAACCTTGTCGTCGTGGTTGAGTAGGCGGCCCAGAATCGAGACGGTCTCGGAGACATACTTGCTGCCCTGGAGCTGGTGCGTATGCCATGCCAAGTCAATGTCGAGTGTAGGCGAGAGGAAAGCCCCCCGGTGCGCACACATTAGGTCGAGGAATGCGTGGTACCGAGCCGCAGACTTTTGCAGCAGGTAAAACTCGCCGCGATCCCAGCGCCCAATGTCGAGCCATCCGATGCGTTCCATGTTGCTGATGAATGAGGCCTGGCGCTGTGTTGCGGCCGCGAGGTTGAGGCTTGAGAAGAGCTCCGTGTCGGCGTACGCCTTGCCAATCGCGGCAAGGGATGCACGCATATTCTTTCTAAACTCCTTTGGACGTACGCCCCAATACTTTGGGTCGCGGAGGGGAAGCAGCCGGCGGTCCTTCAAGGCTTGCGCCAGCAGGTATGTGCGGATCCCGCTGAACGACCAAGACATGTGGTCGCCCACCTGTATCGCGTCTGTAAACCACGCCGCCTGGGCGAGACACTGGCTGAGCTTTGGACCCCATCTGCGAAACTTGGCGTCGCTGACACCAGCCAAACACGTAATGCCCGTATTTGCGGCCACCAAATCGTCGCACAATCGCCGAATCTTGAGCTTCTCGTGTGTGTTGTACTTGAAGCAATTGGTGCAACGGCTGTTCATCTTGGTAGTTGCGTACCCGGGCGAGCGGGGTGTGCCCACCAGCGGAACATTGCCAGTCTTTCGGCAATAGTAGCACTTGATGCGCGCCTTGGTCTCGACGGGGTGAATCTCAATGAGGTCCCTGGCGTGTGTCTCGTAGGCTGGTGGCGGGGGTACAAAGCCCGTCTCGCCATTCTCCGACGGCGCGACTGGCACGAGCTCGTGAGGCTGGTACACATAAGTTGCCTTGTCAATGCGCTTGACAATCTCCTCGAGGGGAAAAGCGTCGGGAATCTTGAAAGCCAGGCGCCAGCGGTCTCCCTCAAAGTCGGTAGGGTTCAGCATGTATGTATGCCACACCATGAGAACGTCAATGTCGACGCCATCTAGGTCGACGCGTAGGGACGAGCGTTGATTCTTGGCCCATTCTTCAAAGCGCAGCGCGGCTCGCTCGCAAAACGCGGCCCACTTGATGTCGCCAGAGAGCTGAGTGCCATCGGGCGTAGGGCATTCGCGGACATCCTGCTGCAATCGGTGGAGACAGGCGAGGAATGTGAGGTGCTGCACAAGTTCGGGGACGGTGACGAGGGGTTTAGTCTCGCGATTGCCAACGCGAAAGGCGGCGGGGAGATGGGTCTTGGGGTTGACGGCTGCCTTCTCTGAGGGTGTTTGGGTGAGGAGGGATGAAGAGTAGCTGGGAGCGGAGGCCCCCTGCGGTGAATCGACTGCCATTGTGAGTTGGTTGCTCTATGGCCCAGGCGGTGTGATGGGTATATAAGTGATGTCGATGACAACAATCGCGGCTGCTGATGAGCGCGATAGGTCAGGGAGAAGTGCGTAACCGAGGTAGCCGAGATCGGAAGCACGTTGCCGTGTCTATTTGTGAGCGCCCAGCCGCGGTCATGTGACCGGGTCAGGCACCACCTGCACAGCGGCAATGGCTGTGCTCGCTCGGACCATCCCATCTCCATCTCCGATGCGCCGCGAGGCGATGCTGGTGAATGCTTATCGCACAGCTCTAAACTGCATGCACAGCATGGGAGCCTGAGACAGTCAACCAGCCTTCGCTTCCAACTGCGACGCACAGCCAATCTCATCTTCTCATCGCGGGCACCGCGGCTAAACTGTACCGAGGGTGACTTGAGTTCTGCCAGAATTCGGCATCGCTCGGCGATAAGATAGCGCCGCCGGTGGCGACAGTGGCGACAGCGGGGACGGGTGGCGACGGACTCGCAGCGACCTCCGCGCGTTCTCTACCTCGCGGTTTGTTCCGAAGCGGGCTCCGACGCCAAGAGACGGAGGCGCAACGCCCCGCTCCATGCCCAGACCCCGGTTGGAAGATCGACGCCCCTGATTCTATGATGTCAGCCAACAATCCACTCTCTCCTGCAATCGGTGGCGAACGCCTTGCTGCTTTACAACACTTGCATTACTATTACTTTGGTGCTATGGGAATCGGGCATTATGGACGATGACTCTGCTAGTGGTTCGGGCTGATGTGGTCGGGGTTGGTCGGGTGCTGGACATCGCGCGAGGTCATGCGGGCGAGCGCAGCAGAGATGGACGGGCGACGCAGCATGGCGCCGACAGAGCCACGGCGCTCGTGCGTCGGCTCGTGCTCCTTGCCAGACGAGTCGCGCGAACGAATGCGCTCGAGAACGTTGCCGAGGGACGGGGCGCGAGCATTGGCGATGCGGACATTGTTGGCTTCGCGAACACAAATGGGGCAGTCGGGGTGGTTCCAGCGGTCTTCCTTGGGTCCCGGAGGGTGGGCGGCGTGCACCATGTACTCGGCGGCTTGCTTGACGTTGCCATTGCACGCATTCAACTGGCGCTCTGACAGCCCACGGGGAAAGCCCATCTGGACGAGCTGTTCGACGGCGGCTGGGTCGGCCTTCTGCGTAAACGAGTGCGAAACGCGGCGCACAAAGTTGCGGAATCCACCCTCGTTTTCGGGAGACGAGGCAATGGCACTGTCTTGCTCCTTGTCGGCGGTGGGGAAGAGTCGCGATGCTTCAATGGTAGCCATGTTGTGAGTCTGGTTGAACATTGTGTGGGGGTTGCGCTCCCAGAGAGGAGCTTATAAGCCTGTGAGCGGGCGCGCGCCTCTGCGTCGAGACGAAGAACGCCAAGACGCCACTGGTCATTTGACCAGTCACACAACCAGATCTCAACGGAACAAGTCGCGGCCGCACGCCAGTGGTCACATGACATTCCGATACATGTTATCTATTTGCCGCCTCTGGGCCCGCGGTGGTGACGACGGGGCGCGCGAGGAGCTCCGTCACGGCGGCGCATACTGCTCTCCTGCGGGCACGTCTTGAGTGCATCGTAAATCTTGGCATCAGGGCAGTCGCCCTTGTTGATGCACTGCCCGATCGCATTCGCCGTGCTGATCCCAGAGTCCCATGCACCGTTCACGTAGCCAAACATCTCATAGGTCGTGGCTTCGCCGGCAAAGTGGATCCAAGCGTCACCCTTCTTTACCGGTTGGCCGAGATTGGCGTGGTGCTCTTCGAGAACACCGAGCGGCCAGTTGGAATACGAACCCCTGAAGAGCGGGTCTGCATGCCACCTCGGCACGACAATGTCGAGTGGCTCAGGCACGTCGTCATACATTTTCCTGAGCACGCCCATCGCTTCCGCCTGGATCGCGTCGTCATCGAGACCCTCGTTGCGTCGCGCAAACGTGTCAACCGCAGTGACCATGATCACGTTCGCGTCCGACGTCGCATTGATGAAGGCATTCACGTTTTGCCATACCGTGTAACGCCCACGCTCGGCCGAGTCGGCGTACATGATGAACTAGCGTCAGCGTCATTGCTTCTGAGGCTCACCTGCTCGTCATTCCAAAACTTGCGGTCGAACAGAATGAAGATCTTTTGATACGTTGCCATTGCAAACGTGAAAATCGCCTCCTTCTTCCAGTCGGGCAACTGTGGCTTGAACTGCACGTCCTGGTGCTGCAGAACGCCCACGCTAAACGTTGACACGACGTGCGGCGCGCTAAAGTCCCCCTTGTCCGTGCGCACAACGATCTGGTCGCCCGAGTAGTCAATCTGGCGCACAGTCGTGTCCAAGTGCAGGCGGGGGTCATCGAGATCTTGGCCAAACAACTCCTTTGCCTCCTGCACAAAGATGTATTTGAAGCCGCGCTGATCGATTACAAAGTCGTCGACCTCGTTTTCGATACCAGCCTCTTGGCCAAAGGCATTTGCAAAGCTGCAGTCCTCGGGCGGCTGGGCAAATGTAAAGTCAATGTTCCAGTATTCATACGCCTTCTGCACGGGCGTGACGGGAATCCAGTCCATAATGCTGGTTGCGACGCGCACAGACAGGTCTACGAGGCTATTGTTGTCGCGCCATTCTAGCGTCAGCAGTGTCACTCTGTCTACTCACCAGAGTAGCCTGGGGCGTGCTCGATAAAGTCGTCGTAGCCCTCGGTGAATACCGCCTGCTCTTGCTCATCGAGGAAATGATCGTACCACCACGCCGAGTCCGAATAATTGGTGCGCGCCGTCTGCAGTCCCCACTTGTCTGCGAGCTCGAGGATGGGCTCCTTGCCTGGACCCTGGATCCAGTTGCACCCCTTCTCGACCGTAGTGACGGTCCCGGTGGCGTTGTTCACGAGCGTCTCGGTGTAGGCCCGCCCGCCGAGCTCGGGACGCGCTTCGAGGAGAAGAATATCGGTGACGTTGTGATCATTGATGAGAGTGCGCACGAGCGAGATGCCCGCGACGCCGCCGCCGAGCACGATGACCTGGCTCTGCATGTTGCTGGGGTTGAATGGGACCATGATGCACTCTCTTATGTACTCGTCACGCCGGTCTCCACATGGTCATCTGATGGGAGCGAGTCGAAGCATCACGACGACTGATTGGGTTGCTCGGATCCCGATCAGGCGGATTGCAGGAACAACAGGAAGAATCCGACAGCCCGCGAGATCTGCTCCTTGTCACCAGTAGCGTCTCGGTCTTGGCACGCTAACATGATCAAGATTCAATCAAGCTCCCCCAATGTGCGTTCGAATCTTATCGTTAGTCATGTTACAGTCACGATGCTTCGATCGCTCCACAGAAGCCAGTGCAGAGTTAAGCATGGATATACCCGACCGTGGGATTGTGGGAATCACAGAGGAATGTCCGTGCACGTGTATCTCGCGTTGGGAACACGCGAGTCTCGCGCGCCACCGGCCATGTCCGATGCCGTCAAAGTCGCCGACGACTCGACCCCTGGATGTCGGGTACCCCGAGGGGCCTAGGGGCCGGCGGCTCCGTCCCCGTGGAGTTTGTTCTAAACGCAGAGAGCGCTGCCCATTCCTGAACGTTTCTTGCACGTACCCTGCCCGCATGTGCTCACGCCTCCCACGCTGCCCACCTGCTGACCAACGTGGCCGGACCCCGGACACCTGTCACCACCCTGCCACCAAGTGGCATGCCGGCAGGTGGGTCTTGTGATGTCTATTTTCGGTGGTCCGCCAAGATGTATAAAACCCATTGGCGCGATGGAGCACTTTAGTCGTCCTCGTTAATTAAAAAAAAAATGCCGACACATGTGGAAGAAGTGCAGCCCGTCGTGGCTGGCAAGGGCCGCGACCCGACGCTGCCGCCCAACCACCCCATCAATGCCTTTTCGCCAATGCGCAAAATGGGCATCGTCCTGTCGCTCGCGTACGCGGGCTGTCTCGCCAACTTTGCCATTGCCATTTGCAACGTTTCCTTTGGGTGGGTCACTGATCGAGTGTTGGCTGACAATAGTGAGGTCGGAAAGTCGCTTGGAGTTGGTCCCGGCGACATTGCCAATGCGCTGGGCTACAATCTTCTCGGGTGTGGAGTCGGCTCGCTGTTTTGGAACCCCCTCAGTCGTTCGTGGGGCCGTCGGCCAGTCTACCTGATCGGATCATTCCTCTTCATGCCCGTGTGCGTATGGGAGGCGCTCTCCAAAAACTATGCGTGCTTTGTCGTTGCACGCATCATGGCCGGCATTGTGACCAGCTGGTCCCAAACCATTCCGCCCTCGTCAATCGCCGAAATCTACGTGCCACAAATGCGTGGTTCCAAGATGAGCATCTTTGGCGTCGCCGTCGTCATTGGACCAGTCATCGTGCCCATCTTTGCAGCCGCCATTGTCGAGCACCATTCGTGGCGCAACCTGTTTTGGTTCAATCTCGGCCTCGCCGCTCTCCAGTTCCTTCTCATCCTCTTCTTTGTCCCAGAGACGATGTGGAACTGGGAGGAGAACACGGATATTGTCGAAGTGGACGACAAGAAGGACACTGTAGTGGAGCACAAGCGCTCTGGCTATGTCGGCCCCGCCTTCCTCCCCCACACCGACTGGAAGCGCTTTTGGCCCCTTTGCTGGTCGCCCATCTACATGATCCACTATATCGTCATTACCGTTCCGTCCTTCTACTATGGCATCTGCCTCGGTTTCCTCTCCGTGGCACCAACCGTCATCTTCCCGCAAATCTTTGGCAAGCCGCCCTACTCATTTGCAGTCGTGCCGCTCGGGTGCGCCTTCCTCGGCTTTGGAGTTGGCGGCGTGCTCGGCAAGTGGTCTGGCGGACACGTGTCCGACATGATCGTGGCCTACATGGAGCGCAAGCATGGCCGCCGCATCCCAGAGGACCGCCTGTGGGCTGGTATCCCGCTCCTGCCGCTCATGTTCATTGGTCAACTGCTTTGCGGCGTGTGCGTGCAATACGAGCTGCACTGGATGTGCTTCATCGTCGGCGCCGCCATCAACTTCTTTGCCCTCAGCGGCATCACGACCGTCATCCTGACATATGTCCTCGAGACGTACATCTCAAAGGGCATGGACACCCAGGCCGTCTTCAACTTTTGGAAGTACCTGTGGGGCTTTGCCGTGCCCTTCTTCACCATGAAGTGGGGCGAGACGCGGGGCTGGATGGCGTGCTTTTGCGGCATGGGCGCCGTGCTCACTGGCTTTGGCGCACTCATGATTGCCGGACTCATCTGGAAGGGACACGCGATCCGCAAGTGGCAGAACATGCCCATGGAGGACTAGTATCGGGGTATTATGTAACATCTACTTTGCTTCTTCGTCAACAGTCTTTCGCGACCGCGCCACGGTCCACCACGTCAGGAGCAACGCGACAACAGTGCCTGCGAGCAGCCCCACTGACGCAGTGTAGCTGACCCTGTACGTGGGCCCAAACTTGAGATTGTAAATCTGCGGACCAACAATGCCCATGAGCTGGCACGATGCCTAGTGTCAGTCGCGCCTCGTAACAACTCACATTGGTCATTCCAATGGCCAAGCCCGCTCCCGTCGTTCCCTTGGCTGCCCGAATGCGCTCTGGCCACATGATGGGGAAGAAGCTTTGACCCGCCGCGGTTGCCATCATGACAAAGATGTACTTGGCAACCGGGGCCTTGACGGTGAGGAGCAAGATGTAGCAAACAATCTGCCCAATCTCGAGAATGAGGCCGGCAACAAAGGCATTGATAACCTTCTTTTGCACGAGGAACGCCAGCGACAGCAGGAACACGAAAACGAGCGTGTACGGCGGCATTGTCATGACCTGTGCAATCGCTGTATTCGACATGCCAAGCTCGTAAATGACGGATGGAAGAATGAAGGAGATACCCCAGCCTCCAATACCGTGTGTAATCCAAATGAGCGTGAAGGGTATAAACGAGGGAGACTTTAGCAATGCCTTTGCCTGAGCCCATGAAAAGTGCTCGTCCATCGACGGCGCGTCTGTCGACAGGTGTCCCTTGATAGCGAGCTTTTCTTCTTCGACAAGAAATTCCGAGTTGTCGGGATCTACATTAGCCTTGACTCGGGAACGACTTACAGTTGGGGAGAAGGAACAGAGTGACGACACCGCAGACAATGGCCGGGATGCCTTCGAGAATGAATAGCCAACGCCATCCGGCGAGCCCACCGACACCATTCATGAAGCTGATGGCGTAGGCCAAGAGTCCACTAATGGTGCCTGAAAACATGCCGCATGCGTAGAAGAACCCAATACGCATCGGCAGGGAATCGGGCGAGTAAAAGAAGCTAAGGTGGTAGATGACACCGGGGTAGAAGCCAGCTTCTGCTGCGCCGAGGAGCACACGGCAGGCGATGATGCCAGCATAGTTTTGCGTCGCACCCTGGCACATGGAGATAACGCCCCAGGTCAACATGATGCGGCTCATCCACGTGCGCGGCGTGAACCGCTGCAGGGCCAGCGTCGAGAATGGCTCGAGAAACATGTATGGATAGTAGAAGCAGCTGAGGGCCCACGCCCACTGCGTCGAGGTGAGGTTGCCGAGCTGGGTCTTGATGTCGGTGCCCTCCTCCTTGTTCATGATTGCCGTGTTGCTAATGTTGCCGACGTGGATACGCATGATGAGGTATACCAAGCAATACCAGTAGAGCAGTCGGCGGTCGACTTTTCTGTGCCCGCTCCTTAGGGCACCCTCGTCGTAATCAGCTGGCGATACCGAGACGGATACCTGCGCATCCTTTTCAGAGTACTCTTCGAACTTTCTGTCGCCCAGGCTTGAGGTAGAGGGTGTCGAGGACATTTTGCGGGGGATGCATGCCACACTACACTCGCTATAGTATTTTAAGCTGAATCCCGTTGCTTTCGTCGCTCGGAATTGAGATATCAGGAAATCGCCGATAGCCGTTATCAGCTCATCATCGCGCCACCCGATGGCGCAATCTTCAACATGGGTGCAATACCATTTGCGGACTTCCTCTCCAAGTGGGCACCAAGATGCGCTAAGCATTCTTGCGCCATATCGCAATGTCAGTGCACCATCGCTGCGGCGTACAAGGCATGCCCGCACTCGGTTATATACATGAGCGCCGTCGGGCAAGAATTCTTGCTTCCCAAGCCACCATGCCCGTCGCCGTCCCCACTCAGCTGCCCCAGTGGACCCGCCCTCAAAAGACCAAAGTTGACCTGCCATGGGCCGACATCAAGACACTCGACTTTGCAAAGTACGACCAGCCTGGTGGTGAAGAGGCTCTTGCCCGCGAGCTCGATGAGGCAATCCGCGACACGGGCTTCTTTTCGCTCGTCAATACGGGTTTTGAGCCCGACGAGGTGCAGCGCCAGTACGACATCGGACAGAGCTTCTTCGACCTTCCGTCCGAGGAAAAGGAAAAGGAACAGTACGCCGTCGACTTCTCAAACGGCAACTACTTTGGCTACAAGCGGCCAAACGAGAAGACGGTGCGCGGAACGCAGGTTCGCGACAATGTCGAAACGCTCAATATACCCAAGTTTATCAAGTCCAACGAGCGTGAGCCGTTTCACCCGCATCTGGAACCCTTCAGGGACGAGATCGAGGCGTTTTCAAGGGTGAGTCCCTGCTGGGACGTGGCTGACGTAGAAATCACTCGATCTCGCAGCCAAGGTCTTTCGGCTCTTTGCAATCATTCTAGAGCTGCCAGAGGACTACTTCTCGTCGAGGCATGAGTACGAGGACCCCGCCGAAGACCACCTCCGCTACATGCTGTATCACCCACGGTCACTCGCCGATGACGAGTCGGTCGAGCGAACATGGGCGCGAGCCCACACCGACTTTGGCTCATTGACGCTACTGTGGTCGCAAAACATTGCTGGTCTCCAGGTCAAGACTGGCTCTGGAGAGTGGCGCTACGTGCCGCCCGTCGACAATGGAATCATTTGCAACGTTGGTGACACGCTCTCCTTTTGGAGCGAGGGATACCTAAAGAGCACAATTCACCGCGTCACGCGTCCGCCCGAGGATCAGGCGCACCTAAAGCGCCAGGGTCTATTCTACTTTGTCCGACCGGGCAACAAAGTCGACATTACACCTGCCGAGTCTCCACTGCTCAAGCGTCTGGGCCTCCTCAAGGAGCGCAAGTCATCCAAGCCGGTAACTGGCCTCGAGTATGTTCGTACACGTGTCAAGGACTATCACGATTCAACAGAGTATGACGACCGCCGCGGTGGTACCTTCCGCGTCGGCGACCTGGAGATTGAGGATGAAGCTACATAGTTATTGGACTGATGGGACCTCTTCTGTACCAAAGTTGCCAGGTAGGACAATCTCGAGCATCTCCACATCGTCAGAGTGAGCTACCTCGCGGTGCCGAATGTGTGGTGGTTGGTAGACTGATGATCCCTTCTCGAGCCGCACCTTGACGGGCTCGGAGGCGCCGGGCTTCTCATACTCAAACTCAACCCATCCCTTCAACACATAGACCATTTGAAATGTCGTGTCGTGCTTGTGAGGTACGCCTTCAGCATGTGTCCCCGATACTGCACGGATAACGTGGGCGGCAACGGCGCCCTTTGTCGCATCATTGATGCCCAGATCGCGGTATTCGAAAAATGAACGGAGTCCGCGTGTAAACTCAGCGTCGCGCTCGTGGGTGAACACGAGGTCGGAGGCTTTGGAAGATGTGGGTCGTGCTAGTCGTGGAGCAAAGCGCGCTGACAGCCGGGCGAGCTGAAGAACTGAGCGCATGGTGTGATCGATGGGGAGACAAAGAGGACGAGTTCGGTCACTTATGTGGGCACGACCGGTGACTCGGCAATACCGAGCTCGGCCGCATCGGCCGGTCAGTCGCGTGGTCTATTGCTGGGCACTGACCCTTCACGTCTGCGATTCTGCATCCTCGTGCTCACATCCTTAACCATATTCACGACACGCGACGATGCCCAGCAGCTCAAATCTTTTAGTTGCAGTGATCTAGATACCAGTGCCTTCATGCTGAAACCAGCCCTGCGCTCTCGCCTGTGACTGACGAATATCAACGTGAGAGCTTAACCTTGTTTTGGAATTGACCCTGCAGAGCTCACGCATCCGCGAGGCACTCGACCCGTCCGCCAAATGCCAAGGAAGCAGTGAACGTAACGAGACCGACATCGTGAAGTCCACCTCCCCGTTGTGAATGATGCACTCTGCAGAATGTTGCTTCTGCACTTACTCTAATGTGGGCGCTCTGGTCCATTATCGGTGCGTCGACCGCTTTCGGTGCCAGCTTCAACACGTCCGTGTGGTTGGAGGTTGGCGGGCTATCGCCCATTTGCCAACTTCCCGGCGCCTTTAGTTACAATGAGAGCAGCGGGCTCCTCGATAGAACATGGTTTGGCAGACCAATCTGGCTCAGCTCAAACTTCGTCGGGACGGCCTTCAACATTACGGGCTCATTGCAATATACTCCGGGGGCGACAGAGCTCCAAAAGTCCACGCCACTCGCCTCTACGCGACTCGGGGACGACCCACCGTCTAATGTGACCTTCCAGGAGAACGCATCGATTGACGCACTCATTGCGTCAATGTCTGGGCTGAACCTCAGCAACAATGTGGTTGGAACAGAGATCGGGTTTCGAGTAAACTGCTCGTACAACAAGTTCCAGTTTGAAGTCCCAGTTCTCACGCAGGCGTACGTGTCTTGCCGGGTGATCGCTGACGATTAGGCCATCGTATACGGACATGGAGTTCGAGTCTCATCCAGTCATGGAGTCTGGCAAGCTCGGGAGTCGATTCAAGGTACATGCGTTTGCCTCTTCAGAGTACATCTCCATTCTCGACAATAGAGTGAACGAATTGAAGACCAATGGTCTGGATTATGGAGCCATCGACAATGGTATTCAAGTCCGCGACTATACCGAGCTCACTTTTGATGTTCCCGACAACACCACGCTGGTCAATGTGACGGGCCCATTGGGAGGAAACTTTAGTTGCTACGCTGCGCTCAAGCCTGCGCCTGAATGGTGGAAGAATGATGGTCCCCCTCTTTTGGGGGTCCAGTCATTCTCGAGCCATAGATCAGAGGTCAGAGCGTTGGAAACCTTTCTGGTACTCCCACTAGACCCCACTGTGAAGTATCAACTGTCGATGGGAGGCGACAGCAACACTTCCGCTATCTGCAACATTGGCGGTGTCACCTCTTACTCGTACTTCTGGTGAGTCAGCCTTAAGAGGCCACGCTGACAGCAGGAAACGGAACGACACGGGCCCCGTCACCCCGACTCAGTCTGTAGTGGAAACATCACAGACGTCGCAGCCAGCAACGATAGGCCTGCAGCGCAAGGGCAGCTCTCCGACCGGAGCCATCGTCGGCGGCGTCGTGGGCGGCGTCGCCGGATTGCTATTGATTCTACTCGGTTCGTGGTGGTTGCGGCGTCGCCGCAAGTTGGCCGCCGACGACGATGCCAGTGTCGTCGATGACACTGCCCGCGCCCACGAGCCCGCAAGCGATTTCAAGGGTGATCCTCCAGTGCTCGCCCCGGTCTTGCGCAACGATCTCTCCTTTAGCACCACCTCGCTCTCCGACCAGGCCACTACGGTTAACGCCGTATCAGCGAGCTCCCATATTGGGCCTATCTCTGAGCAAAAGCCGAAAACAACGCCCGGCCCCAGCATACCCAGCACTACCTCTCCCCATAGTGGAGGTCCCCATAGTGGAGACTCGCCTCCCTCCTCGCCATTGGTCCAGTATGCCGAGGACGCCGAGGACGCAGCTCCGCGACGCCGCGAGCCCCTCATTCTCCCTCCGCGGTACAAGGAGGCGTGGGGCCGTCCACGGGTGCTCCCAGAGTCAGAGGACGGTACAGGCGTCTTTAGGGCGGATGATGGCGGCAGCAAGGCCGAGCCGTAGTGCATGCATGGTGTCAATAGGCCTAACCAGATGCAGTTTGACCGTGATCGCGGCGCTCTCCGCCACTAACAATGGCTCACCCGCTAGCGCGCTCCTCTACCGACAAGGACGGTGCAACGTATCTTGCAATCTTCACACTTCGACATGTCGCCACTGCACGGATATCGCACACCTTGGAACGAGTACCCCGACTGGCAGGGACAGTACGACTTCGCCGTCAAGGTATCGCCCTACAGCGGCCCGGGCAGGACGCACGTCGAGCGAGTGGGGAATGGACCGCTCTCCCGAGTGGTGCGATACCAGGGCCCACCCGTCGGAGGCGTCCTTTCTCGTCTTTGGCGCGCCATACGCCCCGGGCCCGTCTTCTTCACGAGCTTCCTCTACGACGACGGTGGCGAGCACGAAGTCCCCCGTGCGGCACTGACAAACGGCTTCCGCCAGCTCGTCGGTGACTGGCACGATCTGCGCCGTCTTGCGCTCTCAGTGTACGTCGCATGGGACCTGGCACCCTTCCAGGGTCCCGGGGGCCAGCGCGTACCAAGCAGAGTCGAGGTTGCCGAGCTCGAGATGGCCTTCTATGAGGACCTTTTGGACACGTCGAAACGGTATGCCAAGATCGCGGCGCGGCTGCATTGGGAAGCAGAGTTCTGGGGTCAATACCTCGCCCACCTGTCCGACTGTGAAGATGCCGGTCGCCTCCCACCACCATTTTCACGATTCCCGGGTCAAATCAAGAACAGCGTTTCCGAGCGGTTCCGGTATCGTTTGCGCATGTGGCGCGACGGAAGGACAATAGACGACTATATCTTTCGCGCTGCGCAAGGACTTTACGAACGCGAAGACACGCCAGAGTTGACGGACCTGAAGGAGAGTCTGCGAGATCTGAGGTTCAAAATTCTCGAGGCGAAGGGATACCCCGAGGGAGGAGCAAAGCTTGATCTCCTCGACCCAGGCCGATATCGCCCGCCGCCTGCCAGATTGTGAGTCTGCCTCTGGAACCGGGCTGACGACAGCATCACGGCGAAAGAAGCGCATGACAACCTCACTCTCTTCTTTCACCCGCGCAGGCATAGCCTCTGTTTCAACACGCCCCAGTCGTTTGACGTGGACGAGAGTTATGAGGTTCCCCGCACCGCCGCGCAAGCCCAGTTTGCTCGCGAGCGCAGCGACCCCGAGCCGCTCAGCGTGTGGACGCGCATGTCGACTGTCTCAGGGCAGAATCAGAGATCCTCCTATGCCCCACCATCACCATACTCCGAAGCAAGCTCCTCGAGCCTTCTGCGATGAGCTTAACATGTTGTGATACACTTCTGACATTGTTGCTTCTACCACCACCTCTCCTCGAATGACGCCTTCTTGTCGGCAAAGCGTACGTCGGTTGAGAATCGGATACGTCCTTCGGGATCCTCATTGTTGGCGCTGCAGTGCACCTGGCAGCAGTGGTGGAACACGACATCGCCGGCCCGGTAGTCGGCCACGAGCCAGCGCCGCCGCGTGCTCGATGCAAACATCTTGCTATCAGTCGTTAGACCGCCACCTGTAAGCATCTGGTGTCAGCGGTCGACGGAAATGGGGACTCACATTCTCGTTGAAGGCGTCCAGTTGCGCCTCCTCTGGGAGATTCGCGTTGAGCTTCTTGAACAGGTTCTCGATCTCGGTGCCCAGCGGCACGGAGTCCTCGAGATACATCAGCCCGCCACCGATGGGGGAAATGTCGCCGATTGGAATCCACGCCGTCAGTGCGTCCGGTTCCATGCCTCGGAGGTACCTAAAGTCAGCTTCCAAGCAAAGCCTTGGCGATCATACTCACATCTGGTCGTAGTGCACGCGGGTAGCGGTGCGGCGCGAGTGGGGTAGGTTGGTGCGCAGCACCTGCTGCCTGAAAGCCCACGGCTGCTTCCACTCGCACTTGATGCGCGCAGCCATGTCGGCAATGAGGGGATGAGCGACAAAGTCTCGAACAAAGCGTTCATAGTTGGCGCCAGTCCGATACTCGGCGAGCGGGTCTTCACCGTCGAGCTCGCCGTAGATGCCGCTGTAGATGCCCTCCTCGGGCGAAGTGCCTTCCTTCAGTACGCCAGTGTGCTGAACATATTCAAAGAAGCGACGGCGGACATCGAGTACTTCCTTTCTCGGAAGCAGACCGCGCAAGTGTACTACGCCGTCGCGCTCGTACACCTTGCGGATGAGGTCGATGGGCGCATTGGCGGGTAGAGACGGGAGCCAAGCGAGGTGCTCGGTGGGTATCTGGTGTCAGTGTGCGCGGTGGCAACTGGCACATACACGACCACCTTCGTTGCCCTCAATGGAGAGGGCGTCCAGATCCCATCCCTTGTGCTTGCGTTCGCCGTCGAGGCGGACACGGGGTGGGATGCTCCGCTTGGGGTCTGGGTATCTGGCGTTGTCGGTTATCATGGATCGGGTGAGGAATGGTCACAAAGGTAAGTCGCGCGACACGTCAAATGACACGGTGTGCTGGGAGAGTCTTGGTGCATGGGCTGCGTGGTCGTGTGGGCATGATGCTTCTTGTTGAGGTCATGGGGTTCTCAGAATGGTCAGATGATCCTGCCCTCGATCAGATGATCTTATCAGGTCCTCCCTGACGTTGCCATTGCGGGGACCCACAACGGATCCAATTTCGACAGACGACGGCCTACCCCTGACGACCAATCGATGTTGCCTACCCATGTGTTGTGTCTTTCCTTGCTCATTGCCCTCACGCATCTCTTCAACGTTGACCTCCATCCACCCTTCTCGCTTCCATGTCTGCATCATCGAGCTTCCTGGTATCTCCGGACTTCCCATCTCACTACCCCCCGCTCACGACCTTCAAACTCACTAACATCACCTCATCTCGAGCCGTGATGAACTCCGGCTCTTTCCACGCCTCCTCCCCTTCGACATCATTGCAAGGATCGGTCCTCGAATGCGTGTCCTGCCGGGTTGATGCATACCCAAAGAGTCGGATGAGCTCCTCCTAGTCATTGCGGACACCTACGTGACGAGGATGAGTCCGCATTCCGCGATCGCGACCTAACAGTCCGACATTCCGCAGCACGCTAAGCAACCCTGTCGACAGGCGGAGGAATGCTGAGCCTCCTTGTGTTTACCTCGGTGAACCACGTTCAACGCTCCGCACAACTCTTTCCTCTGACAACAGTATCGCGAGCATTGCGAAGGGACGAGATTTACAGACTGCGACGCCATCCATCTCGAATACTCCGCACAGAGAGAGCGATTGCGAATTAGTGGCAGGATGCCTCCTGCAAAAGACGAGGTCGCGGTGCCCTATGCCTTCCTCGAAGTGAGTCACCATCTGATTTTGCCGCTGACGAAAGCGATATCCTCATCCCGCCTTCCTTCTTCCTACGGACTGGGACTCGAATGGCGATGTCACCTGGGGAAACGCTGCCTGGCGGGCAGTTGTGGAGAAGCAAACACTTCTCGAGTTGTCTTCAGGCGGCGATTGCGAGCGTCTGAGGGTTTGGATCGACAAGGCATCGGCTGCGCCGCTGCGGGTTGAATTCACCTTTGGAGCTTACGAACTCGTCCATACTGCAACCGATGATGGGTTCGTGATCACCTCAATGCCGTGCACGAGGCGAACCAAGCGAACCGGCATGCCAGTCCCATGTGAACGACCCTCTCCATCAAGCTCGGCCCCCTTAGTCGAGCTTACCGCCCCGCAGCTCACCCTGGCTCCGAACGATAACAACAGGCTCCTAGGCAGCATTGCAAACGACCTGATGATCCCACTCGGCCTTGTTTCCGGGCCATTGGACGATCTGAAGCAAGAGATTGCCTCTGATGATGCCTTGCAACTTCTCAAGCTTGCACGGCGAAATGTCGGCCGACTGCTCTCGCTAGTCAGTACGCTGATTGAAGTGAGCTCCACGAATCACACCGAGCAGACATCCGGCTTCGTCCGCACCAATCTCGGGGCTTTCACTCGCGACATAAGCACCATGTTCATAAAGTCTTTCGAGAAGTCCAGCAGCAGCCTAAACATTGACTGCGACTTGGCAGACAAACCTGTATACATCGACCGCCAGAGCTGGGAGAAGATCACTGTGACTCTGCCGCGCATGGCGACGCAGTACAACAATGGGTGCGTGCACAGAGAGCATTGCTGACTCGAGCGTGGTCGGTGTCGCCATAACGTACACCGAGGCGGAAGCGGTGCTCACCTGTAGTGGTATAGTCGATTTCCACATTGAAGCTGCCGGTTCCCTATCCTCGGAGACGAATGCCCCAGGCGGAGTCGTTCTCGACTTTGCCCTCATAAGCCGGCTGGTAAACGTGCATGGTGGCAAGCTTGCATTACGAGATAACAAGACTTCGTGTGTGACAATCAGCCTCCCACTGGGCAGTGCCCACCTGCCCCCGGACAGACTGTACCAAGGAACCGAACCCCCCGCATACGAAGTCAGCAAGTGGGATGACTCTGATGACGGGTCGCTGAGCTCGCCAATGAGCGTACGAGGGGTCGACAGGTCAACCCTCCAGTTCGAGCCGACTGATTGTGTGCTATTGGTGGACGGTAAGCGTCTCCACAGCCCATCTGACCACAGACTCCGACTCGATGCAGTACATGCGGACCATCTTTCAACCGCTTTGCAAAGTCTTCGAAGCCAAGGACAAGGATGAAGCCCTTAGGATCATTGAAAGGACGCCTCCGACTCTTGTGATTGCCGATACCATGTCGCCAAGTGACGGCGAAGGGCTGGTTGCCACGATGCGTCGAGGCTCCCGCACCGTAAGCACGATTCCTGTAATCTTGTTGACTGGGCACGAGCGCCCCAACGCCGGGGCAGCAGACGACTATCTGCTTCGGCCCTTCAACGCCCGCGAGCTTCTCCTGCGAGGCCACATGCAGATGCAGATGGCAAAGCGTCGCGTTCTGCTAGAAAACTTGTACGACCAGCAAGCAGACGAGATGCGCATGTTGATGGACGAATCTCCCATTGGCATCTTCCGAGGCGACCCAGGCGGTGCAATCACCTACTACAACGATGCTCTGTACGACTTGTCCGGCCATCCCCGCGGCACCGACCTCCAAGACTGGCCGCGCTATATCAAGGAGGAGTACCGAAAGCCACTCCTTGAAGCATGGGAACACTGTCGAAACTCTGACCAAACGGAGTACACCATGGACGCCCAGTGGATTGGAGGGCGTTGGGGTGGGTCGGGCACCAGTCCTCGCTGACGCCAGTGAACGTTCGGGTCAAGAAGATCTTTCGCTTTGGCGAATGCGTGGCCCTTGTTGGTTGTTGTGCCGACACTACGGACGCGCGACTCGCTGCAGATCTCCAAGTGGAGCGCGCCAGGGTGGCAGAAGAGCAGCGACGTAATGCCGAAAACGCCAAGGCTGAAGTCGACCTCCTCGTTGACATCACGTCTCACGAGATTCGAAACCCGATCAGCAGCCTCATGCAGTGTGCATCCCTCGTCCGGACCAATCTCGTGGGACTGCGCTCAGAGCTCCAAAAGCTGGTGGGGGACAGCTTTTACCCGACTGAACAGCTGGTCCAAACCCTGGGAGATGATATCGAAGCACTCGACAACATCTATGCCTGCGGCCTCGCCCAGGAGCGCATCTCAAATGACGTGCTCGCCCTAGGCAAGGCGCAGCTCAACCTCCTCGACATTCACGACATTGACGTCAACATCAAGGACGAGGTGCAGCGCATCGTCAACGTCTTCAAGAATGAAGCACGCATGGGCCGCATTCGCCTGTCGCTCGAATTTTCAGAGGCCTTTGACCGGTTGCAGGTTGATCACGTCATGCTCGATCCCGTCCGGTTCGGTCAAATGTAAGTTCACCGTCGACAATGCTGACTCAGTGTCACGAATCTGCTAGCCAATGCCGTTCGCTTCGTTGCTTCCAGCAAGCAGAGACGCATAGATGTGCATGTCGACATTGGCACGTCGCCTCCGCAAAACGGCGTATGCACCTTGTCAGACGGGCCCGTCACCCTCGACACGGACCTATACCTCTGCGTCTCGGTGGCGGACACGGGCCCCGGACTACTGCCCTCGGAGCTTGAAACTCTGTTTCAGCGCTTTTCGCAGGCCAGCTCGAAGACACATACCGTCTTTGGCGGCTCGGGACTCGGTCTCTTCGTGTGCCGCAAAATCACCGAGCTCATGGGCGGACACATCGAGGTGGCATCGCGGTACACGGAGGGTTCAGTCTTCCGCTTCTTCGTCAAGACGCGTGCGTCGAAGAGCCCGACGATACCGGTCCCCGCCGCACCTTTCGTCCCCCCGGATAAACTGCGGGTCTTGATCGTGGAAGAGTAAGGCTTGGTGGTCTCCAAATGACGCAAGCTGATCTCAGCAACATTATCAATCGTCGAGTCCTTGCGCGACAACTGAAGCACGTCGGTCTAGACTGTGAAAGTGAGTGACCGTGTCGTCAAAGCTGATCGTAGGTGCTGTGAATGGGCTTGAGGCTGTCGAGCGAGTGCGCGCGGCCCCCTTCGACTGCATTCTTATGGACTTGGAAATGCCCGTCATGGACGGGTACACGGCGACGCGAACTATACGCGAGGACGAAGCACAATCAGTCTCTGCCAGTGCCATCATTGCCTTGAGTAGGTTCTCCAATCCAGCCCTGATCTGACCTCAGCCGGAAATGCGCGTCAGGCACAACTCGAAGAACGTATGAGGGATTTTGACGACGTGATAGTGAAGCCTTATCGTCTGGTGAGCTGACCGGAGATTAGTCACGGAGCTGACGATAGGACGACCTTCTGCGCAAAGTTGAGAATGTCGCGACGAAGCGGAAGGTGCCGTCGCCAGACGTTTTGCGACGAGGTAGCGTCGGATACCCCGTGGCCGCGCAAGCCGAGGGCTGGGCAATCAGCCCGGGGGACGAACAGGGTCCGAAGGCAACAGAGCCTACTCCGTCGACAATACCTGAGGAGACAACGCCTATACCCAACGCCGGGCCCTTGCCGCGCCCCTCCACGCCCCACCGTACAACACATCCCTTAGGACGCTGTTCACCAGTCACAAGCCGGCCGAGCAGTAGAATGAGCGCCCACAGCCTGCACCTTGATCCTCCCAGTCGCCCGAGCAGCGTCGCCGGTCACTAGTGGGAGACTAGTCCTTTCGAGTCTAGTCCTCTTCGAGTGTTGGCCAAGTTGTCTACAAGGCTGCCATGGAGGAAATGCGCGCGTCGACACTTAAGATGTGAGCAACGAGGCTTTCTTTTATCCCCGTTCGCTATCGTAATTGTACGTGGGTGTGATGAGACTTTCGCGAAACGGAACCGCCCCGGAACGAGCATCACGAAAGTAAACTGTAACCTTAATGCCTCCCGCTCCCTCATGCATAGTATCAACAATTCTGGCTCATGTTCGACCAAGCTGTTGAGCTAACAAGCACCGCGTTCCTGAGCTTCATGCTTCGTTGCGAGTGACAGAGCATCGCCTCACGCGACCGCCCTCGTAGCGCTCACTCAGGGATGTTGAGCTAACCCATCTCCCCCTGCCATGCCCACATCCACAACTGCAATGCCCCGTTTCTCACTATCGCTTTCAACATGTGGTGGTTGCTCGCCGTCGCGCGCGACGCGCGCGCAGCCGACCTCAACTCTTCCGTATTCCTGGAGGTCGGCCCATACTCGCCAATGGCGAGTCTGGATACGCTCTCTTTCAAAGAGAATCCGTACACTGGGCTCTTCGACCGACAAAAGTTGAACGTGCCAGTGACGATCAACTCGACCTTCGTTGGCACGGCCTTCGAGCTCAGCGGGGCTTTGACTCTTCCGATTTGGAGTCCCGACATCAATACTGCGCTGGCGACGACCACGTCGGGAGGGTATAGCAATGCCACGGGCGTGCAGAATGCGTCAGCGGATGGAGTCATCGTCGCCATGTCTGGCCTCGACCTCGGCCTTCACGACTTCACGACCACCCTCACCGAAACGGTCAACTGCACCTTTCGGGCACTTCGCTTCCAAGTCCCCTTCCTCTCACAGGCGTAGGTGGCAGTCAGAATCCGCTCACACCAGACCATCCTTCGAGCAAATGGAGTCGCGCACCGACAACGCCATCGAAGGAGGACTGCCAAGCAAGCACTTCACGCTCCGCAACTTCTCGTCATCGGAGTATTTGTCCAAATCGCGGGCACAGCGAGAGTCCGAGAAGCAGGGTGGCATGTCCTGGCGTAAGACTCAGACGAATGCAATGATCGTTGAGGGTTACACTGAACTAGCATACAGCGTGCCCGACAACACGACCCTCCTCAACATCACCGGGCCGATTATGAGCTACTGCTCGTGCTATGCGGCCGTCAATCCGCGCCCAGCCTGGTGGAGCAAACTCCCGTCCTTTCGGGCAGGCGTCCGTCTATCGCCAGGCGACGAGACCTTCTTCGTCCTACCTCTCGACCCAACCGTCAAGTATGAGCTGGCGATTGGGTCTGTCGATAGCATGACGGACGACACCCCAGCTCTCGACAAGTACTCCAACTGTGGCATCACGGGGGTCACTTCCTACTCGTTCTTCTGGTAGGTATCGGCGAGGCGAAGCTTACACCAGGAAACCAAACGTGACGGAACCGCAAGGCACAGACCCAGAATCCCAGGCCGACGCCGCATCCGGCAAACCAAAGTCTGCTCCGGTCGGAGCCATTGTCGGAGGGGTAGTCGGAGGGGTTGTAGGACTGCTGCTGTTCTTGGCAGCTGTGTGGTGGTGGCGGCGACGGCGGAGAAGCGGTTCCGATGACGCGAGCCTGATCGACGACACCAAGCTCGCCTCCGAGCCCGAGTCTGCTTCAGATCGCGACACCAAGGTACCTCCGCCCCCAAGCTGGCAAGACAGTGGCTCAATCGATGGCGTGTCTCCTTCTGACCATCTCTCCGACCAGGCAACCTCGATCATGCCTGCCTTGGGTTCCGAGATTGGCACCCATTCGGGCTCATCGGCGTCCAAGCTATTGCCTCCCGAGGCTCCTCCGTCGAAACTTGGCGATAGGGCGCTAGAGCACAAGGTCGAGTTGCTACACCATATTGATCATTCCAGAGTGGGAGACCGCTCACTGGAGCACAAAGCGGCGTTCCTTCCTCAGGACGAGCCAGGACCGTCGCAGCAAAGGTCCCTACCTCGACCGCCGTTGGTTCAGTACGAGCAGGATGCCGAGGATGTGCCATCAGAGCCACTGATCTTCCCTCCTCGGTACAAGGAGGCGTGGGGCGAGCGACGTGAACAGTCTGCTGCTGGAAACCATATTGTTGACCGAGAGTCTGTACTGAGGGCTGATGATGGTGGCAGCGGGAGACCGCCCGCATAGATACAACACTCGAGTCTGCAACCGATGCACATGGGCACGAGTTTTCACCTGTGACAAGCACTGTCTGCATTTGTCGCCATGCAGAGGCTGTGGTTCGCCCGATCTCTGGCTGAATGGGATCGACGGGCGATCGAGGGCGCACGGCGATCAAGGGCGCAGGGCGCAGGTTTCAAGCATCAAGGCGTTGTGGCGGAGCGGTTAACGCGGTTGACTAGAATGGTCTCTCCTCGGAGAGGGATTCCGGAAATCAACTTCCTTCGGGAGCGCATGTTCGAATCATGTCAACGTCGTAAATCTTTTGCTACTCGTTTTTGTTTGGCGGGGTCTACCGTGATCATGCGAGGTGAGTGCGAGGCAGGCCGGAGACGGGGTGATTCGTGAGCGGGCTTGCTGGAAAGAGGCAGAGGGATCGTTGAAGGCGGTGATTTCAGCAGCGAGTTGGGGCAGGTGGAAGGTGACTGCGCCGCAGGCCTCGTAACGCATGTTGGAATCGTGTCACCGTCGTTAGACGCTATGCCTCAAAGATCACCTTCCTGCAGTGGCAGGCATGCAGAAGAGATGCGGCGACAATTCTGAGGGCAGAGAAGAGGGAAAACGGGCCGGGAAACACTGTCAGAGGCGGCCGGCAGTTAACCTGGCGCGCACCCGCGTAAAGCATGTTCAAAACATGTCAACGTCGGGAGTTCGGGTGGAGGTCTGGGTGCAGCGGAGAGCATGTTCAAATCCTGTCAACGTCGTTCATACGGTTTCACTCCTCGACCACCTTCACAGAACTGGAAACACTCGATTAACCAAACAAAGGCTGAAGATGCAAAGAGCTCGTCCCTCATACATGCCTTCTGCCGTGCTTCCTGGCGTGGCCGCTTCACATTCTCTCGCCCAGTGCATCGGTGGTACATCTGCTTTCTAACTCAAACGCAGTGTACTGGAGATCTGGGCCATTCATCTGCGGACATTCAATGTGGACCCGACGACGCGGGGCCGCATGTGCTTCGGCATCGCTTCTCACCGCCATCACTCCGGACCAGGGGAAGCGGAGTCATCCTGCGGACCCCCCCATGGCCCCGTGACAGTGAAACGCCGAGCGCGCGATCACAACTAAAGAAGTCATGCTCATACTCGAACGCCCACTGACATGCAGGTACGTGCACACGTTCGCGATACACTGATACCCCGCACATGTAACCCGCTGCGTTAACCCGGTCTGAGGGTCCGTCATCAATGTTACGCCCGCTCGAGGACGAGGCGGTTCCGCGATCTGACCGACGGCTCCTTGATCTCACAGGCGATGGATTGGGTCTCCAAGGACTGCGGTGCTGCGGTGCTATAGTCTGGACCTCATCAACAGGCTATAAAGGAGTAAAGGCAAGGACTTCAGACGCCCAAACCTTCCACCTAACTACTCGAAATCGACAACATACCAACCAGAGCCATGTACACCTCCCTCCTCACCATCCTCCTCGCCGCCAGCTTCGGCTCGGCGCGCACGATCACGGTTAAGAACAGCTGCAAGGACACGATCTGGCCTGCGATGTTCACACAGGACCCCTCCCAGGCACCCAAGCATCCTACCGGCTGGGTCCAGAAGCCCGGTGAAGTGGTCTCCTTCGCTGTCCCTGACGTGTGGAAGGCAGCGCGCATCTGGGGCCGCACACACTGCAACGCCGACGGCACTGGCTGCAAGTCGGGTGACTGTGGTGATCTCGAGTGTAAGGCCGGCGTGACTGGCAAACCCCCTTCCTCGCTCGCCGAGTTCACCCTGCAAACCACTGGCGGGCCGGACAACTACGATGTCTCACTCGTAGATGGCTTCAATCTTCCCGTCAGCATCAAGCCGAGCCGCGCGGACTGCCCCGCGCCCAAGTGCGTCAAGGACCTGAACCCTGGCTGCCCTGCCGAGCTCAAGCCCAAGGACGGCGGCGACGGCTGCCTGTCGCAGTGCCAGGTCGATGCGCTCGCTGGCCACGCGGACAACAACCCCAACTGCTGCTCTGGCATCCACGACAAGCCCGAGACGTGCCCCAAGAGCGGCGTCAAGTACTACGACTACTTCAAGAACGGGTGCCATGATGCGTACGCCTATGCGTACGACGAGAAGAGCGAGAGCGCCCTCTGGACTTGCGACGGTAGCAAGGGGCTGAGCGATTATACAGTCGAGTTCTGCCCCTCGTAGGCCGCCGCACGGAACGGTACGTCCTGTCCTAGCCTGGGTCTGGGGGGCAGTGACCTCCTCCAGTCCCTTGTGCCTTGACATGACGTCTGTAATAGTGCTATTTGTCCAGCTTGGAAGATTCAAATGATGCAAGAACCATGCAAACTACAAACATGCATGAGACTGATCTCTCTCACCCCACGTGTCAGGCAGTGGAGCATGTGCTTTTGCTCCTGGTGGAATTCGAAAGAAGGCAGCAATCAGTTTTCACAGAATAAAATTATCCTCGGCACATCAACGATCAACATTGACGTCACAGATTACAAAAAAAGTCTCCTCTCCTATGATGTCGGCCGTTCCGGCCTGCGGTTCGTGCGGCACGGGATGCACTGCGCGCGATAAACCCCCTAGACCTTCGGGCAGGTGCACGTCTGCTGAATCATAAACCTAGGATGCAGGAGCGGTAGCCAACCAAGAGCCGTGGTGGGTTGCTTTTCCCGCCGGGCTGGTGGAGGCATGTGGAGGCGGCTACGGTGCCCGAGTGGAGGCGCGGGTGGAGAGTGGTTGATCCGGGTCTGCTATAAAGGTCGGAGCAGCTCCCACGGACACGTACCCACACCCTCACACACAACACACAGCACACACAGCACAGACACAATGAGCACACAGAAGATCGGAGCCTGGGTCGGCAAGGACGCGAAGGACGCGAGCGAGGGCAACCTCTCGTTCCAGGAGATTGACAGCAAGAAGTGGGAGGAGACCGATGTCGATGGTGAGTCACCGCGCCTCAAACAGCGCCAGCTAGCGCCATCCGGAGCCGAGCCCTCCGGCACGATCCAAGCACACCGCTAACATTTCCAGTCAAGGTGCTCTACTGCGGTATCTGCGCGACGGACATTGGTGGCCTGCAGGGCCACTACGGCAAGTTCTCCGAGTCCGACCCTGCCGTGTGCGGCCACGAGATTGTTGGCGAGGTGACCAAGGCCGGCTCGCAGTCGGGCCGCAAGGTCGGCGAGTTCGTCGGCATTGGCTACCAGACGGACTGCTGCGGCGCGTGTGGCATGTGCAAGGGCGACCACCCCGACTGCTGCTCCCAGCTCGTCAACACCATTGCGGGCCCCTACAAGCGCGACGCCGTCAAGGGCCAGCGCGCATACGGCGGGTTCGCCAAGGTGTGGCGCGGCCCGGGTCGCTTCGCGATCCCGCTTCCCGAGGGCGTTGACGCTTCGACTGCCGGCCCCCTGTTCTGCGGCGGCATCACCGTCTTCACCCCGCTGCAGAAATGGGGCGCGGGCAAGAGCCGCAAGCGCGTCGGTGTCGTCGGTATTGGCGGATTGGGCCACATGGCGCTCCAGTTCGCGTCCGCCATGGGCGCCGAGGTCACGGCCATCTCGCGCTCGGACCGCAAGAAGGCCGACGCCGAGAAGCTCGGCGCGAAGCACTTCATTGCCACGGGCGACGACACGGGCAAGGCGTGCGAGGCGCGTGCAGCCACCCTCGACCTCATCATCTGCACCATCAACCCCGCCAAGCTCCCCGTGCAGGAGTACCTCCAGCTCTTGGCTCCCGAGGGTGTCTTCGTCATTGTCGGTATCCCCGAGCAACCCCTCGCCTTCTCTGGTCTCCCGCTCGTGATCAAGAACGCGGCCGTTGCTGGCTCGCACATCGGCTCGCCCGACCAGATCACCGACATGCTCAAGTTCTCCGTCCAGCACAATGTCAAGCCCTGGGTGCAGAAGTACAACATGGACGACATCAACAAGGCCCTCAAGGACTTTAACGCCGGCAAGCCCGAGTTCCGCTTCGTCCTCGTCAATACGGACAACGGCGGCAAGCTCTGAGCAGACGGATGTCAGTGGGTGGAAACAAAATGTAGCTTCTAGTATGCAGTCTTAGAGATCTTGACGCAGAGTCGAACGTCTAGTGTTTAATGGGTCGGGCTTCTCATCTACCACACCTAGCTCGTCAAAATCTTGCATGGCTGCTCTGCCATTGCCTGTTTTCCAACAACCGCGATTGCCAGCGAGGGCTCATGTACCTTCGCCGGCTGAGGCAAACAAGCAGTAACTCACGGCGTTGTGGCGGAGTGGTTAACGCGGTTGACTCGAATGGTCTTTCCTCTCGGAAAGGGGTTCTGAAATCAACTTCCTTCGGGAGCGCATGTTCGAATCATGTCAACGTCGTAAATCTTTTGTTGCCCCCGCTTTGCTGACAGCGAGAGTGTTCTTTTGGTGTGGATTGGATGCAGAAATGTCGAGAAATCGAGGTGGAAGTGGAAGATGTGGTGTTGTGTTTGATGGAGGGAGGGGGGCGTAGGTGGAGGTGGCAGGAGGGCGCAGAGGGGCGCAGCTTGCCTCAACACCCAGTTCGATCGAACAGACCAGGCCAGACGACGGCGAGAGCATGCAAAGCTGCAAAGTGCAAAGGCCCCTAGCGTGCAGGCATAGTCTAGCCTGTACATGGTCAGTGCATATCATATCAGGCCGTGCTGCAGATCCCGAGCACGAGACCATAGAGCACGAGACTGGTGAGCACGAGTCCAGCAGTGCCTGCTCGTGCCTCTTCCACCGACTAGTCGCTCTCTCACATTCCTCGACCCGCACAGCGTTAGTTCCTGCGCACAAGCGACGGACAGCGACGCACAGCCTATGCACGGCGATACGCTCGAGCAGTAGCCAGACAAGCCAGAGCCGGCGGCATGTCCACCGCTGCAAGCGAGGGTTATGTCTCGCCCCGCTCGACCCTCGACTGATTTCTGCACTTGACCTGATATCAGCCCTCCGGCCTCGGTATCGATAAGCCTGAGCTTATATCCGGAACGCACTTCCGTCCTCGCTCGTGGCCCGTGTCAACAAGGAACGTTTCCCCCACTCGGCTGCAGCCCCCACTCCGAAGTAGCCGAAATGCCCCCCGCACGTGTGCACAACTAAAGTTCAAAATGGTCGTCACAGTTTCATAATAAACATAATAGTACAAAGAATGAAGTACACGAAAGATTGAAGAACTAGAGCACACCCACCGCAGCCAGAATGGCATCGGGCGCCCGCGCCGGATCACACTCTGCGCCGAGGTAGTAGTGTGCCCACGCGTCCGCGTCGGCGGGGGAGAGGGTGCGGATCTGCGACGCCGACGTCAGGGCCTGTTGAAGTTTGTTAGCGTGATTTCCGAGAATACTCGGGCAGACAGGGGAGGTTCGGGATCGAGCTGTTCCGAGCTGGATTTCGCTCCGCCATCTGCCGAACATGAAATGGAATACAGGAGAGTAACACTTACGACTAGAGGCGGCGCTGGGAGCGTCGGCAGCACGGGCAGGAGGGGGATGCCGGCGGCGTGGCGGGCGCGGTTCATGTGTCTGATGTCAGCTGGCACGGAAAGAGGATCAAAGCTCGAGGAACTCACGCAGCCATGAGCGCGTCGACCATGACGTCGCGCGGATTCTTGCTCTCGACCTCGAGTTTGGCGATACGTTCCTTCTCCTCTTTCTCCTCGCGCTCGCGGAGCTCGCGATCGCGTGCCTTCTGCGCCAACTTGCGCGCCATGCCCGGGTCCACCTCGGGGGCACACGAGAGCGGGATGAATCCGCCCAGACTCGACTGCGTCGCGCGCGGCCCGAGTTCGAGCACGGGGATGGCGGGCGACATGCTCTGGCTCGCGGGCTCGGAGCCGTAGTCGTCCATGCTCATCTCGAAGCGGGAGGAGAAGTAGTCGCCCGTCAGGTGTGAGTGGTCAAACTCGCTTTGGCGTGCCGAGGGCGGCGGCGTGTGCGAGAGGTGTGCGGGTACGCGGGGGTGGTGGTGCTCGTCGAGCTCGAGGTCGTCCTCGAGGTCAAAGTGCACGCTGCGTACTGGCGACGACTGGACTGTGGGCGACGGAAGCGGAGGCAACATCGTAGGCTTCAGGATCGGCGCTGGTGGGCGCACGGGCGAGAAGCCAGCGACACCACCCATGACGAGCGGCGACATGGCGCCCTTTGGTACGCCCGCTGACGGCACTGTCGCAACTGGCGCGACTTCGGGCGGCGTGATGGGCTCGGGGGCGGACGTGACGGGCGCCATGGTCGTGACGGGCGCGACGCTGAGCGGCGGCATGGTCGTGACGGGGTTGAGGGAGAAGGCGGCCATGGGCTTGATGAGCGGCGCGAGCGTCTCGGGCGACGACGACGCGGAGCTGAGGCCGAGCACGGCACTCTTCCACTCCTCGACCTCGCTGCGGCCCAGCGGCCCAGCATTGGCGCAGAGCTTGAGCACCTCCACGACCGCACTGTGCGACAGCGGCAGGGGTAGACCGCCATGCATTTGGTGCAGGATCGGGAGCTCGGTGCACGTCGAGAACTGCGGAGACTCGAGGATCTGGTCCGGGACGGGGACGATGGTGAGCATGTCGGCGGTTCGGGTACGGGTGCGTGACGTAGGTGAACCGGTAGCGGGAGGGGTCGGAGGGGATACGTCTAGCGGGTCTAGCGGGTCTAAGTCGGAGGCGGTCGCGGAGGATGACGAGCTCAGTGGTGGCAACGACAATGGCAGTGAAGGGGAGAGGGAGGGCGGGCGCGGGCAGTGGTAGCCCAGCGCGAGCCGTTGGAGGTTGCGGTCGAGAACGTGTGCTGCGACGTGCGCGGTGCGTTGTCTGGCCGTGGTGAGGGGGCGGGCGAGGGATGTGCACAGGGGTCGATGCGGGATGCGGGGAGGATATATGCTGAGTGGTGAGGTGGGAGTGTGCAAGAGGGTATCAAGAGGTGAGGTGAGTAGTAGTAGTGACTATAAACTGATGGAAGA